TATGTAATTGAATTTGTGTAAAGGACTTTTTGTCCAACAGACTTGTCCCTTGCACAAATCAAGTCCATTAGATGGGGGTTGACTGTATAATATGAGAGTGCACACACATGTTCTCTGAAACCCTTCCAATTACTCAAGAACCAGCACTGATCATACAGGGCTTTGAGTTCCAAAAGAAAACATCTACCTTGTAATCAGAATAATGTACAGTAATTGGAACTCTAATTGGATTACATGCCTGAGGATGCTTTTCAATTAGATTGTGCAGGCATAAAAGTAGGGCCTGTGCTCTATGTGCAGAATTTTGTTCTTATTGTACACTTCTGGTAAACTTGAGGAAAATGGCACGTTCTTTAGTGAACAATGACAATAACAAAAATATTTCACATTTTTGTTCATTTAAATTTTTGATAAAGTGGGTATTGAAATATTGGCCTTTACTTTTCAAACTCAAGATTTTAGTCTGTCAAGGTTGACTGATGGAAATTAATTTTTTTGCGATTCATGTTCCACAAGATCATGAAAATGTGTTGAGAATGTGCATGGAAATTTTGAAATTTCCACAAAGATTTTCATAGAGCAAATGTTGTAGTTTTAAAATTCATGTTTCAAAATGCGTTGCGTCCAGATTTGCAGTCACCTGTTGGAAAAGAGAGGGCAGTATTATAATCTTGTTATTGTGAAATAGTATTGAAAGAATTTTTTTTTAGCTACAGTGAAAATGAAACTCACTTCCCCAACCAATGCATAGTTTGTTGATTGATATAAACTGGTCCATAAATTTCTCGTGACCGAACATCATAGAGAACTCACTTAGTCAACTGTACCAAAAGACAGGTCATTAAAAAAGGTCATGGTCTCCGGTACCAAAACTTCTGGGTTCAACGTACCGAAAAGACACTAACTAAAGTTTACATTTTTTTTAAGCTTCACATGAGGGAGCAACATTTCATTTTACCTGATTAGATCTCCGGCAGGTTTACTTTTGTAAAAATCACAATTCTCTAGGGATTTTTCTGCATTTTTTGGGTCATAATCACCAGCTGCTTTGCACATGGTTTCATGGAATTGGTGTTGCAAAATGATGCTGATGAAATACCTGTATATAGTTGAGTAACATAAATTAGGTTACAGTCAACGTTTGCACAATGGATTTAATTTGTGCAACAGACAAGTCAGTTGTGTGAAAAGTCTGCTATATGCAAATTCAATTCTTAGAAAATTAAAATTTTTGATTTTTACCATTCATTTAAAACCAACAAAAGTCTGTTATGTGGATTTAGTCCATTGTACAGGAGGGGAAGCTGCCTCCATCAGAGGCAGTTGGTTTTGCAAAAATCTGTTGTTCAGGAGGTCTGCTGTGCAGGGGTCAACTTTACTTTTATTATCTGTTTGCTTATTAGTTCAGAATTTGTAAGGTTAACATGTAGCATACCTTATGTAAGGAACTCCATTGGCAACATGGTGGATGGCACCAGGGTCTAAATCTTCCTCAGTTCTTGGCATGGGCTTAACTCCCATGATCCTCTCCACATGATCCCAGTAAACTTTATTCATGTTCTTTTTTGTGACAGAAGCATTATTCCCTAGGACATCCCTGAAAAAAAATATGAAAAAATTTAATTTACTTGCACAAACAGGCCAAACAAACTCACCATCTCCAGAGTTCAAGGGTGTAAGCAAAAGGGTCTACGTGTTAGGAACTGTTCCGTAAGAAGTAGTTAAACAAATTTGAAAAAAGTCTTTGGAGGAATAAACTTTTCACCCTTCCAAAATCCTCAGGTTAAAAAACGTTTACAAATAGTCTCCTCATAGAAAGAGCTATGGTGTCTCCTATTGCTTCATGGAAGCCTGTTGATTTTTGTTCAAGGACTGAGTTACATCACAATATTGAAAATATTTTTGCTGAAATTTTTTTTGCTATATATTTTTGCCAACCATTGTTGGCTCCATTTTGGAATTCAGTTGGCTGATGAGAGTAGGACATGTAATACTGAATGTGGCCCATTTCATGATGAACTGTCATCAGATCTGATGGCGTGACGTAAGTGCAAAATTTTATCCTGGAAATAATTTTTACAATTAATACACACATTTCAAAATTTGTTTAAAGAAGTTGTTGATATAGTTTTGCACTCTCAATAATAATGAGTCCAAAATTGTCACAATCTAAAAATCTTATCAATCCAGAAAGTTAGCAACTGATAATTTTTTAAAGTAATAATCTTGGAAAATCAAAGAATAATTTCATCATGTAGTGCGCATCACTAAGTATAGGAAGTTTTTTTAGTATATTGAATTGAATATAAATGATTCAAATAACTAAATTGTTTGCTTCAAAAACTGTAATGATTAAATTCAGTTGATTTAACCATTCAATTGAATAATTGAATGACTCAATTTGATAATTTAATTACTCAATTTGATAATTTATTGACTGAGTTGAAACAATTTAATGTTATCAATAAAGATATAATTTAACATCTCAATTTAAAAAATTTAGCGATTTCATTGAAACAACTCATTTATTTGTTTCAAATTGTTTTGACAAGTAATAACTGATTATTCAATATTACATTAAATGATCAATCATATTTCAAAATTGCATTTATTCAAATTGAAGTAGGAATAACAACGCGTTTTGAATTCCAAAATTGTAATAACCAGAATGAAAGAGATAATTACTCAAGAACGACGCAAATTTTGAAAATTTTGCAAGAGAAAATAAATTTAGTGTGCCAAATTTTGAAATGGATAAAATATGAATCCTACCTGAAATCGTCTCCACATGCTCCTTGGGCAAAATCATGTGCTGAACCATGACAAGTAACCTCTCTTCCATCATCCGGCTTCAGGAACATTGATTTTTCCCAGAAAGTTTTTGTCATCGGACTAAAACCCATGGAAACGAAGAAGTCTTCTGCTAAATCATACATACGCCGCACTGTGTAATTCTGCAAAATTCGAACGCATGTATTTTCCACAATAACAAATACCGTAGAAATGCATCTTGCAAGTTACATGACATAATCTATAGATCCTAAAACATTGCAGAACATTTAACAACCTCTGAATTTAGAGATTTACTGAGAGCCTCTTTTTTCACCTGAATCTGGCCAAAGAATTCGCGAGATTTTAAAAGTTATTATTTTTGTAAATTTACTCGTACAATCAAAAACAATTTTACATGGAAAAATGTTACCTGCGAAAATGTTACCTGCAAAATCATTTCTTTGGCAACTGTTGCCAAAATGTCTTCGCTTGCAGGATACGGAAGAGCACCTTGATTTGCCATCGAAAACCCATTGACAAATCTATGCCCTAAAATATTCAAGATTTTTACTGCATTTATTCGCCCTTTATATTGTATTACTGTACATATACTGAAGATTATACCTGTCAAATGTGCTGGTATGTGTCCATTCAGGTTAATGAGATTTGGATACAATCCAGACAGTTTGAATCTGAAGTATGAAAAGATCTTCTTATAAAGTGGCTGTATTTCTAACCACAACTTCTCCACCTGTTCTCTCATGTCAGGGGAGTCATAAGGTGCAAGCATCTTCTCTGCAGCATTTGCATAACCTTAAAAATAAATTCAAGAATGCACCATTTTCATGAAAGTAAAACAAACCTTGTGTCAGTCACTCCTCCATTTTTGTCTTGAAATGTAAAAATGACTGTTTATCCAAGTATGATGAGCACCCCGCCAGTTTTCATGAGGCATGCAAGTATTGCAATACTGTACAATACAGCAGCACTAAAAAAACTGTTGTCATACACTGCGGGTTTTACAATCAATACAAATATTAATTCCGTATTGAAAACCTTCAAGAGGATAACCAATAATTTGTGCAGACAATTAATTTAAAGATTTGTACCTCTTTTACCAGGTGGATCCTGGACCAAGTACCTTGAGTACTCTAGACAAATGAGAAATAATAACACAAGCAAGATCGACTTTACAAGTGTATATTCAGTTCCAACATATACGCAATATTTCAACCAGCGTACAACAGACTTGGTTCCTCTCTGAGGGTATCTTTACCACTGAAGTCCACTGGGCCATACAAGGCCTTTTATTAAATCTGTTAAAACCAGACAGTAAAAGGTCATTGCTTGGCAATGGCCATCCAGCCAGACAAAGAAAGGAGACACACACGTATTCCGCAACACAGCATACGTTAAAAATTTATGGGGCGGTTGACCGCCTGGGGAGAGCTGCAATTAGGGCAGGTAACAATGGAAACTCAGTTGCGCGCGCATGCGCGGCCATGCACATTAATGAGTGGGGCAAGGGGCAAAGGAAAGTTAGAGCACGTTTAGAACAGCTGACAACAAAACTATACAATCAAATTGAGAGTTTGAATTTAGGCGAAAATGAACTTTGTTTGGATCGTTTCTTTTTTGCTATTTCTTATGTAAAATGTGACTGCTGTGATGAGAAAAAGAGCTAAAAATGTGTCATTGCGCAACAATAAAGTAAAGTTTTTTTTTTATCAGGAATGAATGAATGAACAGAACACTTTATTTGCGGCTTTTCAGCGTTCACAAGGCACAACCAAGACCCCCGCATCCAAACCACCCCACCCACCCCACTCAACCCAACTCCCCCCAAAGACATTTGATCACTTCAAAGCATGAAACAAAGGACAAACCAATGACAAAAGCTAAAGAGAGAACACACTGCACAAAATAAAACTGGACATCCGACACCTATGCATACACCCACCCATCCTAATTTTTGATCTAATCTGTTTGCTAAACCTGGTTGCCTGTATATATTATCTATCACAAAAGTTTCACCTGGTAAATGAGAAAACATTACCCAAAAAATATGTTTATCAGGAAGGGAAGAAGTGTAGGTATTTATACATTAGTTGTGCAATTGTACATTTTTGGATGTACTGTATTTTATTTTAATATCCATATGCAACTTATTCATATATTTTCCATTCTGATGTGATGGAATGTGTTTGGATGAACGTGGGTGGTGATGGGAGTGGTTTGAATGCAGAAACATTGCTTGAACCTTCTGAATGCTAAAAATCAGAAAATAAAGCTTGCTGTTAAATTCTATTCAATTAAGTAAAGAAAACCATTTTCAAATTAACTATGAGAAGGACCCATTTTGTTTTTCAAATTTTTGAGAATATGTATGTGTGTGTGTTAATACTTGAGTAAAAACAATAATGGTTTCAGATTTTGAAAATTTTCAAACTCTATACAGTACTTACCCAATGATTTAGCCTCTTCTTGCAGCAGTACAACATACTGCTCATATAAAGGCCTGATTTTCTTTCCAGTGGCATCAAACCCAGCTTTCCACAAGAACTTCCTTTCCTCTGGATCAGTTATACCTCAAAAATATATTGAAAAATTATAGTCAAAGTTTTGACATGAAAAGATGGTCTGCATGGGAAATTCTCACCAGGATTCAGTGCAATCCCACATTTTGTCCCATCTGAGCTACAAATCTGGGCTTCTACTAAAATCCTCCCCATTTCCGCCTGCAGCCTGCCAATCTGAGATTTGACAACATAATTAGCATATCAGCAAACATTTATGTAAAGTAAAAAAAAATACTCACAGCTGATCTTTCAAGAAACTTGCTGGTCTCCGACTCTAAAGTTGCTGAGCCGAGTTGCTTCCAAATGAGGCGAACAAAGTATGAGTCATGGTAATTCCTCCACCTTGCAAAAGGACCACGTTTTCCAAAAGCAGCTGCTGCAATTTTTGTCACCTCGTCCATTTTTAGACTGAATTTAGTTTTTTCTGCTTCCTGTACGGAAAGTTTATTTTCTTCCTTGATATATACATTTTATAAAGGCATAGGCAAACTCAAGCAAGCCACTTACATTCTATTTGCAGTATTTATCTTTTGTGCTGTGTGTATATATACAATTAAATCTTGTTGCAAGAAACTCCCAGGACCTTATGAAAAGTTCATTATAATGAAAAATTCGATTTATTCAGATTTATGGTTTTTAATACTCGAGAAATGCGGCATATTGTGTAATTTTTGAATGGTACATTTTCTTAACAGGAACTTTTGCTGCTCAAAAAAAGTTGGAATGACGCATATTCTCTATTTTTCCCCTTTTTCAGCCATTTATGGAATAATTCCTCATGCAGCCCATGCACAGAATCAGGGCCAAAAATTCGTTATACAGTAATTAGATAACAGCCTGAAATGAGTTTGTTAAAATGAAATTTTTTATAACATGGCGCCTATAGGAGGAAAGTGCCAGCAGGACCAATAGATTAAATTTTTATACAGTAATGATAAGTTTGTTAAAAAAGATATTGGTTTTAACTGCAATTTACTCTTAAACATTAATAACAAATGCAAAGAACCTAATAATCAATGGTCACTGCATAAATTATGTAGGTGACCTTTTCCATAGAGTCAAAACTTTCTTGAACTTATTCCAAAGATATACACTCAAAAAATCGAATGGAAGGCGGGAAATACTCACCAGTGAATTCAAATTGTCCTCCGTCATGTTTGTTTTGTAATTCCAGTTAGCTGATGCATATGGATAATATAAATTGCTTTGCAACAAATCCCATGTTGCAAAGAAATTCCTAGCAGCTGTCTCTTCAACTTCCAAAGGTTCAGATGCTTTCATGTCAAATTTTGCTTGATTGAATCGAAAGTAGAATTTTGAAATGTTGTCTTGATGCACTTCTGCTAAGTTTAATCTCAGATTTACTGCAATTAGCAGTGCGACAAGGAATGGCATTGTAAGCAAAAATGTAGAAATACAGTCAACCCTTGGTTAACGTTCCGTTTGCTTAACGTTTTTTCACTTAATGTTCCTGGTCCTGTGAGAAAAATCCCCTTGCTTAATGTTCTGAAATCCACTTAACATTCTGCAGTTGTGCAGCACTGGGTGATCAATGTGGATGCCTCCCTCCTTTACATTTTCTTGAATGTGACTTTTTCCACAGCTTTAAATGTGTTTCCTGTGTGGTGGTGTGGTGTTACAATTATTTTATGAACAATTGCAGTGTCACATACTGAATTTCGGGTAACACTTAGACCTTTTGTTGTTTTTTTGTCTTCTAGGTTTCAGTTTTTGGTTACTTTTTGAATGTAATGGCAGTGCATAAAGCTCAGTTGTTAGAATACACTCTTTAATTAATTTTTTTCTGAATTTTACCTTTAAATAATTTTGCCTGACACCAATTAAATGTTTCTCCCTTATATCTTATGGGAGAGACTACCTTGCTTAATGCTTTTTTCAGCTGCTGTTTTTTCCCACTGCACCAACTAAAAACGTTAAGCAAGGGTTGACTATAGGTGCCACCTGAATCACAAGCCCAGGTGTCATTAATTTTCCAGAATTCAGAGTTGAAATATTCGGTAATGACATTTGCAATTTCTTGAGGGAAATTTTTTTGCATAAAACATCAATGACTTTTTACCAACAATTCCTGGAGGCACGTGCTGAGAACTGATCAACTGAAATTCATCAGATATTTTGGGTTGGTTACTGGTTCAAGTAGTTCTTGTTCAGCTTTCTTCCAGGAGGATTTGTCCCTAAGGAAATTGGACCCCGCAGAATTTGTCCCGGGGACTGCATATAAATGAGATCCACAACAAGCCATCCCAGCCGGGGGAGGCAGGGCTGTTGGACAAGGGGCGGGGCAACTGGAGAGGGAACACTGGCCAGTTTGGGGGCGGGGCAACCGGGGAGGGAGCACTGGTTGGTCTGGGGGCTACCCCAGTCTGGGCACAGACATGAGTGTGCAGCAGGCTAAGTGAGTAAGCAGGACCAGACAAACAGAAGAAAATATCTTTTAACACAAAAGAACCTAGGAAAAGTTGTTCCTTCAGTTTTCCACATCAGGTTATTACTTGAAAATGATTTTTTCTTCTTTAAATTTCTGACTATCCTTGATATTCAATCATAAAATCTCAACAAAGACCCACCTGTCAGATGAACCATCTCCTGATAATCGAAAATGTCCCTTGTCTCAAAAATTTGGTTTCTTCACTCCACACAACACATTAACTGACCATCATTTACAGAATATGATTGATGCAGCCATTTGCAGCCATTTCTAACTTGCATTGATGGGTCAATAGACCAATCCCTTGGTCAGCCAGTTACTGAAAACCACCTGCATTTTCAGAATCTTTTTTCGGACCATTGGCACCATTTCCTACCCATGCCAAGCATGCATTAGAATGGTGCATTGTACAATAAAACGCTGCAAAATTGCATCCAACAAGATCAAAATATATGTAATGATAATGTTGCAATGACGAAGTGTTCAAATCGACTTTAATAATGAGTTGAAGTGCAACTTCTGTTAAACTTTATTTAGTAAAGTCATCTAAAATCGCAATGCAAAGATGTGTGCGTTACGAGAATATAACTGCTCTTATAAAACGATTGTCGATAAAATTAAAATTATGCAGAACAACTTTGAAATATTATGTCTCATGTCTTCGCATTCCGGAATACAGTATTGCAGAAATCCCATTTTGAAGTGGCATTGTCAATAAAACAAAATGGTGCTGGTCATCGGATTGAGCTACTGCAATAGTTCTTTGCATTATTGCTGCTGACAAATCGGCCGGAAACTAGAAAAGAATTCCCTGACTGAGTTTTTCAGAAATTTTTAAAATTTAGATCTCATCTGCATATTGACTTTTAGGGAAACATCACTGTCAATGGTCTGATTTGCCCAGAACAAACACAGCTGTCCAGAAACTCTAACACTGCATGTACTTCACTTCTTGGTAATCCATGCCATTTTTGGGTTTCCTCCATTCTCGGAAATCTGAAATAAATTACCAGATGTTTGGCAATATAATAATGTATTTTGAATTTTCTTGTATCCTCTTCAACGCCTCAACTGAACATTGTGGCAAATCTTTTACCAATAGATTCCAAACGTCTCTTCCCCAGCAAGTCAACATGATATTTCGGGATCTCTCCAAATCTGTGGGTGCATGCGACAGTTTGACGTAAACCAAATTTGAATGAATTTGCGCTGTGTAACTCAGTCCATTTTATGCAGGAGTAATTGGCCTTTTGCCCCACTGTGAAAGGCTGTACAGCGGTGTCCAAAATTGAGACACTTGTAGGAAACAATTCCCTGTGTCCTATGAAACACAAGGTACTGAAGGAAGTTGATGCGCAGAAGCATGCATCATGTGATCACCAGGAATTCCCCGTGATCACGGGATAATCAGCACAGCACTCTCTTTTCCCCACCCTGTTTGAATGGTGCAATCCTCTTCCTCCTGCAACCCTTTTCTTCTCTGATCTATACAGTCTCTCAGATGCTTTCATTGCATTAAGATGTTTGTAGATTTGCTGTCTGTTGAAGTATTAAAATATTTGTGATTGATTCTTTATTTTCATGTGAAATACGTCTTGTTCTAGTCTTTTGGGATTCTACTGAGAATCCCCTGCCCTGTTCCTGGGCGGATTGTTTGTTCTCATTTATTTATTGATTCAACATTCATTCTTTGTGGGCTTCTGCCCTACTACACGTGCGTTTTCCCCAACCAGTTTGCAAATTTTTGCATCCTGCAAATTGAAAAAGCTAAAAAATTCAAATGACATTGCCTAAAACTTACTGACCCCTGCTATCCAAGCTTACTATACAAAACTTCGGTTTTCAGTCCTGGTCTCCTGGACGGCAACCAGTTCTCAATCCATTTGGGAAACTTTTTTGATCAAGTTGTCTAATGATGCTGGAGCTGAGGAAACCTTTTGCAGAAATCCCTCCTTTGTCGCCCCTTCTCTTTGGTGCCATATTAAGGGTACCAGAAAATCATAAAATAGTTGCTCTCAAACCTATTAGTCTGGGATATCCTTACATGATTTGGAAAACTTAGCTTCATATTTCTTCATTTCCTAATGTGAAGGAGAGATCAGTATATTCATGACAGAAGCACTTGCACCCTACATTTTTTGGCGCTGAGTGAATCATGCTTGTGGTAGGAAGACAATAAAAGTTGCGTGAGTGAAATGGCATTTAATTATTTTATTGGTTGAAAGAAAGAGTGATGGATTGAAAAACCATTTATGTACTGAAGCATTGTCATACTGCTGTGTCTGGTCAGCCGCCGGTCGGTCAATTCAGGGTTTTGCACCTGCCAGATGTCAAGTGCTGGTTGGTCCAACTGCCAGCCAGGGCAGTTCTTGGCCTTGCCAATCCCCAGCCCACCAAACTGCAGTTTGGTCACCCAATTGTTGGGGCACCCAAACAATTGGGTGACAAGAATCATGCTGTTTTTTTCAGAATTCAGTGAGCAGNGAGGCAACCCTTTGAATAAGTGCCACGTTCATTTCAAGAATTCTGAGGGAAAAGCTGGGCTACAAAAAAAAACTGCTGGAAGGGCGCCTCATTTATTGAGTGGATAGCAAAACTCCGCCGCGGTGAATTTTGTAAAGCCTAAAAAAAATTGTCAAATAGCTGGGCTGATTTTTTGTGTGCCAAAGAATTTTTTCCCGAATAATTTTAAAAGAATAATTTTTATACGAATAATTTTTACCAGCTCAATTAGATGCCATTTTCATTTCCATTCCGAGAACATTTGTTAGAACCCTCGTGGAGTGCTCGATTTTTGAATAATTTTCACACATTTTAATAGCAGTTTCCACCATGGGTATTTCTCTGCGCCGGAACTTTGGGTGGCTATGTTTTGTTCGTCCTTTCAAAATTTTGCCCTTAGATGAAATTAAATCCAAGATTTCTCCAACCCCTTCACTTAAATTTTCAGAAGTCTCTTAGAAAACTTGAAATAATTTCGGTTCATATCATGCTTAAATTAATTCCTCTATTATATAGGTCTGATGGCGGAGGAAAGTGAAACACTCCATACTTGGCAAATCCTGTATTTCTTCCCTATCTCCACCTTTTGAACAGGATGGATGACTCCAGCAAGTTGTAAGATCAATGATGAATTATTCTGTCATTGGAATGAACAGCCATAAAGTTTCGAATATTCAAAAACTTCTTTTTCAAAAGAAAGTGCTCAAAAAATGGTTGATATGCACCACATCTTATCAAATGCAGGAATCGGATTGCTGACGCGATTTTGAATTCCCGATTACAAAGGAATTTGCTTCCTGACATCAGAAACTCCAGTTACTGAACGAAAAGCAATATGCACAGTCAACAAGAACTAAATTACCGGAGAACGCTGCTTATTGTGGATTTGATGAGAATAAATGTACGTTTTGGACAACTCCATAAGTTTCAAGATTCAACTGGAATCACGATCGCAATATTTCTTGAAATTAAAAACCAGCATCATCCCTGATCTTTTAGGGACGCACCCGATAGTCACGGAACTAATTGCTGTTCAGCATTTCCAAAATAGTTTTTAATTAACTCTCTTCAGGAAATGAGCCCCTGGACACAGGAAAAATTCCATAAATGTATTTTTCATCTGCTTTTAAAGATATTCTTGCATCAAAGGTGAAACGCCCATTTCCAAATGAAATTGGAGCATTCCCAAAGGCATCAAAATTCGCCATCCTCGATTGCGGTCCCCTGTTTCAATACAGTGCACAATTTGAAGCGGACACCAAGTGGATTTCTTCGCAATTCAATATCCTTCTTTATTTCACTGAAGTCACACAGAATTTGACCCAACTCGAAAAATGTCTGGGCCAGTCTACGGTCTATTTTCTGGGCTGGCTTAAAAGCAAATAAAAGCAATTCATGTAGTTCAAGCCGAAGGTAGCATAAAGTTGATCATGTATGCGCACAATACGTTTTATTCAGCCTCATGTGAAACCTCCTCATCTGGCCACCCATCACTGTTGTCATCATTGGTTAATATTCAATGAGTTTCCATTTGCTGATCATGGCAAGCAGAAGTAATGCAAATAATGAATAAATGAATGAACAGAAAACTTTATTTGCCGCTTTTCAGAGTTCACAAGGGATAACCAGAACTCCCGCATCCAAACCCCCTCCCCACCCAACCCAACTCCCCCAAATACATCCAATCATTTCAAAGCATGAAGAAAAGCACAAACTAATGACAAAAAAAAAAGAGAACACACTCCACAAAATAAAACTGGACATCCTACACATATGTTGCATACACCCACCTATCAAATAAGAATAAATTCTTATTTATGCAAATAAGAATAAAAAAATTATTACCGTACTTAAATGGAAATGCACCATCTTGTGCACACATCCAACTGAACATGGTGATCTTTGATGGTAAGTCAGATGTGTGCTCAAGACTTTTTCACAGCTGAATTTGTTACCAAGGTATTTTAAGTCAAAAATTGGTTCACTTTTCTGGTCTACCCTGTATATATTTTAAATAGGAAAACTGTCTTTATTAAAACTCACTGGTTACCAAGGAGAATATACCAAAAAACAATCACAGAGTAGTTTGATTTAATCCAGATCTGATCCCCGCTTTCTCAATTCTTTCAAACAATCAGATGGTATCCATGTAATGTTATTCATGGTGTACTGGATTGAAGGTAAAGTAAAAAAGATGTTCAAAGAATTGAGAAAAGTTGGTCCGAACTTGATGCATGAATGGTCGTTAATCGGCGCATATCATTTTCATGGTGACTCCCTGGTGAGGTTTTATTGCTGTTTGCTTTGCGCAAGTTTTTGTGATTTTAGTGTGGTTAAGTAATCCCGAGATCTATTTAAATTGAGGAATATCGCAGCTCATTCCGCAGTTCACCGGCAATAATGGAGGTCTTCGAAACTTACACAAAATTTTTCGAACTTCTTGTAATTCTGGCGCTTTCTTCAAACTGCGTATCGGCGACATTTTTCCAAGTGACTGGGAATCGCTTCACGATTAGCTCCCAAAACAAAGGTTTTTCAACTATTGAGTGCGCTATTCACTGCAACAATGAGATACCGGATTGTGCAGGCTTTTACTTCAACCAAACGGAAACCATGTGCTACTTCTGGAACACGACCGATGTACTGATTCCGGATAGAACCAGAAATGCGTCAAGTATCGATCCTCCTTATTTCATGACTTTGCCGGGTGATCAACTGTATGAGGGTGAAGAGCGCTCATATTTTCCTCAAATGCTCCTTATTCATGTCTGTAAACAAATAAATTTACTTTCCAACTTGAAATTTTCAAAATCATCAATGATCAATCCATGAAAAGCCCCGCTCAGCAAAAATCATTTCGGAAACATTCATCGAGTAAATATATCCGCATCCAGAAACGGACACAATCTCCATGTCCTTGCTTCAAGCAGCTTTATTTAAGCACTATGAGCAGACTCTCGATCGTCTGGCAGAATTTCGGTGATCTGCAATTTTAAAGATAACTTTTCATTTTTATTTTCTCTTCTTTTTATAGTACTGTATGATGTCTGATTAAAAATCACGATAAGGTGGGTAAGAAATATTCAACGGAGGTCTGTTCCCAGTTTCAGAACAATTCACATTTTTTCACATGTTGCGAAGTAATCCGGCATGCAGTTAGAAGAGAATAGGCTTCTATTTGTTCTAGCTAGAAAATGCTGGACCGACTACATGAATTAGGTACACCATGGAAATTGGTGGTGATGAATTGAAAAATCTCATGCTGGAACTTTTTTCAGAAATCAGTTCAAGATTCGAAAATGTTTTTGAAAAACTGAGTATTTTTAAACTTCCAACCACTGCACGTGTTTAGCAAATTTGAGATGATATCTGATTCAAATTGTTATCCCTTTTTCCGTTTGCAGGATGCGAGAAGTTGCCAATTGTTGGAGCAAATGCAATTGTGTCAGTGGACAACAATGCAGTGCCGCCTTTTAAAAATGGACAAACAGTAACATATTCCTGTGTCAAGTGGAGTGCTCTTCATAGCAGCGATTTATACAAATTCGGATTCAGTCAAACTGCGGAACCCACGGATTTGGAAAGATTTCAAAATATTTCGCTGAAGTGCCAGGGAAACAACGTTTGGTTTCCAGACACCAAATATTTGCCGCGTTGCGTCGGTGAGATTTCGAAGGAATCTATGTTGATGCCTATATACCGAATACTTGGCATACTTCCTATATTCAGAGTTCAGAGAATGCAGAAAAACGAAGAACGGAACGGATTATCATGGAGTGAAATTCAACGTCACCGCATCTGGACAACCATGTTTACCATGGAAAACTCAAACTGTGGATTCCACCCCTGCACTGAAATATGATGAACGCGTGAGCAATCTATTTTAGGATGAACTTGACAAATTAGTGGATTGACCAAGATTTTTTTTAAGTTCCCGGTAGATGAAACTGCGGCAAATGCAAAGAACTATTGCAGGAATCCATTAAGAAGGGCAGCCCCATTTTGCATCATCGATAATGTAACTGCGCAATGGGAATACTGTGACATCCCGGAATGCGAAGACATGAGAAGTGAGTACGATAATTTCCTTCAAAATGTGAAGCCCACAATGCTGTCTTATCAATGATGAATCCTCGCTAAATTTGTGATCTCGTTTTTTTCGCGTAGGAACCAGGATCTGTCGCGTCATTCGTATTTCGATAAAAAAATAAATCGGTAATTGAAATTCTTGGACAATTTTTGGATTTGTATTATGAACATGTACACTTTAAGAGTGCTGTTCGGTTTGAAGGAATAATCCAATTTCGGCCAGCAGAATGAGCCGTGTGCTGGCTCAAGTTTCTCATTAGTCCGAGACATTTTTCGACTGTTGTGTAGTTTCCAGGCCAGTTGAAGTAATACCTCCATTTTCGTGAAATTCGCAGCTTTTGCTTGCGGCACGACGGTTCGAAAAGCTGATGTTCTCGGAGTGACCGATCGTCGAACACTTGCTGGAGACGAATGTCAATACTGGAATACAAACAATCCTCACAGCCTTTGGCCAGGTTTTGTGTTCGTAATGCCGGACGAGATCGGTAATGCACATAATTACTGCCGGAATCCTGATTTTAAGGAACCTACCTTGTGGTGTTACACAATGAACCCGAACGTGCGATACGCATTTTGTAATTCATCTTACTGCCCAGGATATCCTTGAAATGACATAAAATATATCAAAGACATATTCTATTCCCGAAAGAAAGGTTTCCTAAGAACTATCTTCCACTGTCGAAACCGCAATATGCCGTCATATAATTGCAATATGCCATCATATATTGGCATATTGCGGTCTTGTCCGTAGAAGAAAGTTGTTAGGAAACCTTTCTTTCGGGAACCAAAACACAATTTAGCACTTATTTGTTTCTTCGATTTTCAAATTTACGCATCAGCTGATGGTGCAGTGGGACTTTATGATTCAGAAAAATTTCGAAAATGCTACTGCGTGAGATACATTAATGATATTGCAATTCGATGAGATTCGATGATTTACTTTGGATGCAACATTGGCATCGATTTTTCGTTCAAAAACACGATTTTTTTTTTGTCTACCGAGCAAGGAAAAAACTTGCATACGCGCACGATACACGAATTCAGATTTGAGCAAGATTTTGCGGAGAGTTGAAGGACCTAATAGCAGATGGGCATTTTTTATTCGTCACTTGTGTATCGATGTGTGCACGTTTGAAAATTACGTCACTGTGAAGAAATTTGTAAGTGCTGGTCGATTTTCACATGCACTGCGCCACGCGAGAGCATTGAAACTGTCCCATTAATCTGTTTGAACGAAGTGTACATATATATACTGTTCAAAACAACTGTTGTCCTTTACTTGTGGGTCTTGGTTGGGTCATTCATATGAAAGCTGAACTCAGTGTTCAGAATGGGTAAATCAATAACATATATGATCTTGGAGTACAAATTCTGTCAAATATTGCAACATATAACGGTTATCTTGAATGATTGTTTCAATAAAAATGTAAACCATTGATTTCTTCCTAAAGAATCTACTTCAAATTCTTTTCGAACCTCTGTTCAACAAAAAATGTTTTATTACTCAAAGCGTTTACAGTTGTCTGCATTCTTTTGGAAGTTCAGGAAAACCCTTGATTCCCTTGATTGATTGACCCTTATTCATTAGATTGGGTGAATCAATTTCTGATGAATCAAATGTGAAAACACACTGCTGTTAAACATACCGTACTCTCGCGAGTGTTAAAACCTGTCTCAAATTGTATAGCTCTTGGTAAGAGTGTAAATGTTGCTCAGATCTGAATCGCGCCTATCCCTATACAGAAATGTACAGAAGAAAAATCATGCATCTGCGTAAATGAAAATAAAATGCAAAATTTTGAAATGTTTGCAAGCATTCAATGAACTAATGAGTAAGGTTTAAAAAATCAAGGTGCTGTCATCCATTATGCAATGTCGAAATCTTGATACAGTACCTCATCGGTGGAGAACATAATGTTTCAAACATTTTCACGCAGTTTCATATTGTGGAAAATTCCGCCAAGGATTTTCTCTGCCCATCTGGATTTGTTGGATGTTTATTTTTTGTCATTGCAAAATTTTTCATTATAAATATGATTCCAGGATTCCTTCTTTCACCTCAGTTCAGAGCAGTCTCACGGAAAAGTTGAAATACTTTTGGTTCACAGCTTGCTTAAATTCAATCCACTGAAAATTTATATTACAACATATATACGTAGGTCTGACGGAGGAAATTGAAGCACTCCACGTTTGGCCAATCTTTTCATCACTAACTCGCCCATTTGAACAGGATTGATGACTCCAAAAAGTTGTCAGATCAGTGTTGCATTTTTTTTATTTTTTTTAAATATCCCCTCAAAATAACTTTTGACGAACCACATTTCATCAAATGCAGGAATCGGATTGCAAAGGTCATTTAGAATTCCCGCTTTTTATGAAGTGATTTACGCATCGCTCAAAATGATAAACTCTAGTCACTGAACAAACAGCAATATGCACAGTCAACAAGAATTCCATTACCCGAGAACGCTGAATATTCTGGATTTGGTGAGAATAAATTCACGTTTTGGACTACTCCATAAGAATCCAGACTATAGGAATCAAAACCGTAATATGGTTCTGATTCAAAAGCCGAATCCTTTAAGGAATCATACTTACCACAACAGTCAGTCTGCGCTCTTCAACATTCCAAAATGCAGTAATTCATCACATTTGGATTCACCTTGTTTATTAAACAAATTCAAAGAAACAAATATTTATAAAAAGTGAGATTGTACAGGGCATGAAGATATTTCCGCACGAAAATGCAGCGCCCTTTTCCTCATGATTATCAGTATTATCGCTGAGATGGTAATAAGTTACGTCGCCATCATCATATAAAGTCCCCTTTTTCAATACAATATGATTCACAGAGACCAAGTTTTTTCTTCGTCAAATAAAAAGCCTCCTTTGAACGACGGTCAATTTCTAAACTCAAAAAGTTTTGGATATACCTTCCTTCCAGTTGCTGGGCTACCAGCAGAAAAACAATTCAAGTAGACGAATTCATCAGAAGTAAATCTTATGCACAGTATGCGTAAAATAATGGGTAGCCGTTGATTGCATGTTTGCAGTACTGTAATCGCAGAAAATGAAAATGTAATCGGTTCGGAACCTGATCCCTATAGCTGTCGTGTCGCGCCGTTTCGTCGGAACATTCGCAGCACAACTGCGTTCGAAGCTTCAGGAGATTCGAAAATGCGAGGATATTTTGCCAAAGAATCAGGAATAATGTTATGGTTGCTTGTAGTTTCCACATTATTCTTGGACCTTGTTTCCTCGGCCATATACCAAGAAATTAACAGTACCTACGTGATCAGTTCTTCAATGCCGGCATATACGGCAATTGAATGCGCTGTTCGATGCGATACTGTATTGCTGAACTGCGCCGGATTTTATTTCAATGAAACGGAGAACAGGTGTCACTTTTGGGACACTTCCAGTGCGGAAATTACCGGCCTGACAGGAAACATGACAACATCTCATCGTCTGCCTTATTATGCAAAAGTCCAGCAGGTTATAATAAACCCTAATGGTAAGAAGCCTCATTTCCTGCTTCTTATAATTTCTTTTAGAGCAAACCGTATCAATATCTGAATCATTGACATGCCCGAAATTATTGCAAGGGACGAAAATTCAAATTGTCTAACGTATTATTGAAGAAAAATTTGTTCGTGCAGAAATACTTTGAGTATATAATTAGGGTTTCAACCCGACAGTGTAAAGAATATATTTTACCCTGCGTCTTGAGATAAACCTTTTCAAATTGGATCTACGCGTTAAGATCGATTAATGACATTGATTGAAAAATCGTGTTCATTCACAGAATGCGCAAATTTTCCGAACGTTGGGAAAAACGCACGTGTGTCAATTTTGGACAACGCCGTACGGCCTTTCGCAGTAGGACAAAAGGCAAATTACTCCTGCGTCAAATGGACTGCGTTCCACAGTGCAGATTTATTCAAATTTGGTTTTAGTCAAACCGCAGCACCCACGGATTTGGAGAGATTTCAAAATATCACCTTGACTTGCCAGGGAAGAGACGTTTGGACCCCGCTAGTCGAAAATTTGCCACGATGTTCGGGTAAGGATTCGAAGACATTAAAATAATACAATTTTAATGTCAAACGGACGGTACAATTTCAGATTTTCGAGAATGCCGGAAAACCAAAAACGGTACGGATTACTACGGAGTGAAATATAATGTTACAGTTTCGGGACAGCCCTGTTTATTCTGGGCAAATCAGACTATTGACAGTAATAATTCACTAAAAGCCGTTTCGCGGGTGAGAATTAACTGAACTTCAACAATTTCTGAACAACTCAGTCAGGAAATTCCTTTCCAGTTTCCGGCTGATGCGTCTGCAACAAATGCAAAGAACTATTGCAGAAACCCACTCAGACGACAAGCGCCATTTTGTGTTATTGACAATGCCACTGCAAAATGGGATTTCTGCGACATTCCGGAATGCGAAGACATGCGACGTATAATCTTCGAACATTTTCTCGCAGAATTTTCATTTTTATTCACAATCGACTTCAAAACAATTTTCCATTGCTCATCACGCACGTATATAGTATTCCAGTGAGATTTTCGATGAATTCATTGTAAAAAAAGATGCACGTAATTTAATCCCTAAGCTTGACTTGAATACAGTACTTCATTGCCAAATCATTGATGCAACTATTCTAGTATTATTGGATGCAATTTTGCAGCGTTTTCTTGTGCAACGACACCGCGAGGAAATGATGTAATTGGAATAACCAGTCGTACCACAATTGGCGGTTTCACGTGTCAGTCCTGGACGGCAAGCGATCCTCACACCATTGCGGATATTTTCCGGACAATGATGCCTGATGATGCTGGAGCTGAGGAAAACTTTTGCAGAAATCCTTCGCACATCTTCCCTTCCCTTTGGTGCCACACTACGGATCAGCCCAGCAGCAAAGCGTACGATGTTTGCTCTCAAACATACTGTCCAGGATATCCTTGAGAGATTCAACACGTGAAGTTGAAAATTTAGCACCATATTTCGGCATCTCCAGCTTTAAAGAAGAAATCGGCATATTATGGACAAAAGCACGTGCACTTCACCTTTTTTTGTTTTTGGATCTGAGTGAATCATGATTTTTTCGAAATACAATATAAGTATTGCGAGTGGAATGGCGCCTAATTATTTCATTCGTTATCGACAGAAGAGGTGATGTACGAGAGCCATTTATGCATTGAAGCACAGCATCGTCATTCTGCTGGTTGTGGACTGCTGCAAATACGAAGATTATTCACGCTTATGCCATGCAGAATTTTTCTCTTTGCGTCTGGGAGTAGTTTTGCCCTGTTACATTCTTATTTGTGAACTGTCAACCTTCAGGATTTTCTCTTCAGCATTGAATCTAACTTGGTTCTAAAACTCGTCGTTACTACTACACAAAAGCGGAAGATGAATATTTAGGTCATGAATGTCCTATCCTGAGCAATTTGAATTGCGCTGTGATTTCAATATTCGCTCACAGTGAACCTTGGCAAACTTTGGAATCTACTGTTTACCAATGCTGATTGGATCTCAGACCATCAGGAACATATCATATGCAAGCATGTTCTATCTTAAAATCCCAGTGTTCAATCTTATTGTCATTTTTTTCTTATAATTTGCATACAGAAATAAAATGCTTCTTTCCATTCTCCGTTACCAAGGAGAAAACTTCGAAACAATGGTAGAGTGGGCTTCATCCAGATTTGATTCTCCATTTCTCAGTCTTCCAAAACAAACAGATGGGATCCATGACCTTCCAGCAAGCGCATTTCGGTGTAATGAACTAAGGTGTCCTCATAAAAAAAATAAAAAAAAAACGAGTTCAACCGGGTAACAGAAATATGTACACTATTTTTCTCTGGAAAAAAAGTAAGAAAAGGTTTATGTTCTATACCCAATTGTATAGATTGAACGAACGATAATATCTTCAAAATGAGTGGAATCATGTCCAAAAAGCTCAGAACTCTGTGCTCTCAAGGTTATAATTGATTATATCGTACTTTAGTACTTAGCACTGCGAAGAAAAACAGGTTATCAAGAAGTAATCTTCCTAGTTTACAGCGTTTGCGAGATCGACATTGGAGGCAACCCGAAATCAAAACATGCTGAACAACCCATCCCAAATATTTCGCACGCTAAAAAATGAGTAAATAGTTTCTTATTCCGCTGCACCATTTCCGTAGCTCCATCTTTGCTCCGTCTGAAAAATACTCAAGGAACACGGGGGATTATTGCGAATAAATGCAAAAAGAACCACGAAGACTTTATTTTGAAATTGGTACGAGTTTAAAATATGTTTCTCGTGTATTCTTTTTCGTAAACAAAATATCCTTGCTGGTTGGTGTCCCAGCCAATTCTGCGTTTTATTATTCATGCTTATGCATCAGCAACATCTTGCCCAAATTTCCTCTTGAAGATCATAGACTTACCATTATCATGACAAATTTCCTCTTGAAGATCATAGACTTACCCTTTTATAGATGTGACATCTGGTCTATCTAACAAATAAATTGCTTCCACTTAACATCTTCCAGAAGGAAAGTGCAGCCTGGAATTTCCTCCTCTCTTACTTGTTCAGCACAAATGATACTCTTATGGTGTAAATATTTCATGCAGTACATTTAAAACCTGTGAGAAGTTTGGAAATGTCTTGAAAAATGAATTTAGGTTTCACCATCATCCCTCAACATTTTTGCCAGAAACACTGTCACGATTCCTTAAAATCCGTTATTGATTTATAAAAACATCAGCAATCTTATCGATGTACAGTATTCGAAACTTTTCATAATTCCTCGTATGAATGGTTTACATTATTCGAAAATAGAATTACAACTGACACCTAAACATCTTGAGGACATTATCATGACAATTTTTTTTTAAATCCCTACAATCTACTGAATCTAGTTAAGATTAGCTCAGGGAATAAATTGCCCTGAAGGAGGAGAGCAGCTTCCCTTTCTTTTTCCAGGCAAAAAACCTCTGCTGGTGCCTTTTGGGATTATGCCAGAATTCCGTCTCTTTCTTCGTCCTTCTCTCACTTTTCTTTAGAACAAAGTTAATCCTCTTCTGTCTATTGATATGTCTGTGACATAATATCTGTCATTGGGCACAGTAAAGCGTGAATCCCTGCAGAAATTCGCATCACAATTATGTCACCCATCTGGGAAAAACACTGCGTTTTCCTGCTAAACTTCGAATGGCCACAATGACCCTATCGGAGAGAGCAGTCGGGTTTCACTCGGGTAACGATCGATGGGATCCAGTGCCAATATTTGAATTCGAATACTCCTAACACCCCCAGAGAGGATTCCCTTGTCCTATCCTTCCGGATGATGATGGAGCTGAGCTTTATGAGTGAAAATTCCCAACCCACAGCTACTCCGCTGTGGACTCATGCGACATACCCGAACATGCGTTATTGGAATTATTGTCCTGCATTTTATTGCATAGAAAATCCGTTAGCCACAGATTAGGGTTATATTTTAATGTAGATTATATTTAAAAAAAAAAAGCCTCTGAGGATTACAAAAATGAGGGCTTCATTCCGCACTATGAAGCATGATTGCGGAACTGAAACCGACAAGTACGACAGATCAAATAAGTGTTCTTGGAATGTAAATTCAAAAGGCATGCGAACGAGGTGAAAAACAATTACAGTATTGGTGGGGAAAAAAAAGTTCTTTGGTACAAGAAAAGAATGAAGCAAGGTTAGACATATTTTGCAAAAAAATGTTTGCAAAAGTCACCCGGAATGCACTTTTCTGGTCTTCTCTCGGACGGTCAAGTGCCGAACTCTTTGCATTCTTTGGTCAGAAATCCCAAGAGCGACATAAAAGGTTGTTATCACAGAAATATCTTCAAATGAGACTGAGGAAATGAGGAACACATCTTACACTTTGAGAACAGACAGCAATTCAATTTTTAATTTTTGGCATCAATCAATGCGACAATTAGGTGAAATGGATTGTCGGTTGCCATACCTTCTTGATGGATTCCTACAAAGTGTAGCATTCATTGTTGCCAAAAATTAAGAATTGCGTTGCTTTTCAACTGCATGGAACACACATTTTATTCAGATATTGTCATTATCCGTAATGGCAATATCTATAAATACACGTAACCCAGAAATCAACCCCACGAAGAGGATTTCGAAAAGTAATATTTGTGTGTTCCTTGCATTTTGAAGATGTCACAATTTCACTTTTTTGATTAATGATTCGTCACTTCTCCCAGTTCTGCGAAGTGCGATTGAAGTTACGCATACGTTGATGGAAACAAAGCTGTAAGCTTACTGGATTGTGGTGTAAACCGTGTAAAACAACAGCTTATCCATTACTGGTCAGTTTTGTACGTTTAGTATCATCTAGTTCAATATATCACTTGATCGAGGCATGCTTTACGATCCCAAAAACAGATGTCGCGAACAAGCTAGTTACAAATGTCTTGGTTCGAAAAAATTTACTGTCGTCCATACCTTTGAACATTTTGAAAATTTACTCCATGGCGATAACGTGATTGTGTTCCTCTCGTGTTTCCCTGGTTTTTCTTTCTGAGTTTTGAAAAAGAATGAATCGAAGAAATTCACAATATTTTCATAATGGAATTCGGGGGCAAAAAAAGTTCAATTGTTTTCTATGAATTTCAATCATGCGTAAATCTCTGTTTCTGTGTACACGACCCCAAAATATGTAAATTATAAATATTCTTTCAACACTCACAAAATCCAATAATTCTTCGGCGATATGCATTTCTCCTCTTCTGATTCTGTACTTCCTAAGTTTGAGAGGGTTAAAAAGTCTAACATTGCCATTGAATATGTGGGGAAAAAACCGGCATATTTTATCAAGAGTAATTAAAAATCACGTATTCAAGCCAAACAATCCGGAATACCGAGAACGTTTTTTTCATTAACTACTTGAAAAAAATATTTTAATAATCTTGGACCAATCATTTCTGTTGCAACGCTCATGGAACCTGTCCGAAAAGAAGTTCAGGCAGGCAAGCGGAACTGCTTCCATAATTCAAAAAGAAAGATGACATGGGTCGTTCAAAAGACATGTCGTCATCATTGTTTCGCCAAAGATGGCGTTGTTGCCAATGTCGAACTGCGCTGCGCCGCAGCTGAGACGTCGTTCTCCGACGTGGCCAACAGCGCCTTTCCCTTCATCTTGCCGTACCAGCGTTTGTTTCCTCAGTTGGCCCTTGGAACCCCGAGGTAGAAGAAGGATATCTATGTACAGCCATTCTCAGGCATTTTGATTCGTGAAATCGATTAAAAATTCCAAATGGAAAATGATAATAATGTACTCCATATACACAGAAAGGTGAGCAAGCTTATTCTGATTTTATTTCTGAAATTGGAATGCGGGCGAAAAGATAAGTCGAATTTAAGCGTTTTCTCAATTCCAGCGAAGAAAAGAAACGGCGGAGTTTTCACCTAAATTCATATTTCTCTTATCAATATTCATGCAGGGTTTTAAATATTTCTCAATTCCATAAAGATCATTATTCATTTGTCAGAATGGTAATTATTAGAATATATGCCATGAATATCGCAAAAAAGTGGCATCAACCGCATCATCGCAGATTGGGGAGAAAATCATGTGACCATTTTGTTATACTGCAATTTCAGGTTTTCATCAACGGACTTATTTCATTTGAGTTTTATGTCCAGCATATTTTTGAACATCTTCAGGACTTGCCGTACTTTTTGTTCAAAAAAGTATCATCAGTCCCGGAAATAAGGCAGATGATTTGCTATATAGGATTTGGCAATAGATTTATAGAACCACAGTATTAAATACTTTCCTTCGTTCAGTGATAAGACTGATAACGAATTACGAATAACCCGAAAGACAAGACTCCTTATTTCAGGCGGGTGGAATAATGGAACTTGAATTGAAGAAAAATTGTAAAAACTAGGATCAGAGTAGGAAAACTACTAGTCGCAAATGAGTTTTGTAAAATATATATCATTGATCGTGCGGACGATGCCCTGTGTCGCTGGGGAAAACAGCGAATAATCCCAAAATCTTCGCATTATTCAAGCATACTTGTATTCAAAATTAAAATGATACGTTACATGCAAATGAGGGGCATCGACCGGATCCCGAAAGTGATTTATGTTCCACGTGTCAATGTCGTTCGTGTCTCTATAAAATAAATGACCTCGGGTTTCAGATAAACACACGCATATATCGTGCATATATTTTTGCAAGCACGCGCTCTTCTTGGCGATTTCGAACCGAGAAATAAATCTCTTCAAGAACGGAACCCGTCTGTTTGCTGACCACTCAACCTCGGGTTCAATGGGCTTTTTCCTCGGAACATTGATTGGGTCTTGGAGCTTTTCCTGGTCCCTCAGGAATGCAGAGCAGATTGACAAAGAGCGCGAACAGCTTATCGTCAATGAACCGACATGTGCCACAAAAGAGGCGCGAAAATCACGTCACTTGCAGAAAATAGTTTTCTCTTCAGCGCCTTTTGTTCGCCAAAAGCGTTATATTGCTTAGCTATCTTTTTTTGTTCTCGCCATGATCGAAAATGAGGAATCGACGTGTTGCTTATGTGCGTTGTAATTGGCGAGAAATACTTCATAGCGAAAAATTATTTTATCCCGATGTAATTTTTTTTTTCAAATCTCTGCGAGTTCAAAATCCTTCAGCGCGAGTTTAGAAACGATGACGAATATTATAGTCGTTTGAAACGCGAAACATTATATTTTGCAAGCGACTTTTTTTTTTTTACGAAAAGTTCTGTTATGCTTCCTCACAGGTGAAGCAATCAATCGGTTAACTAAACGAGTACTGATAGGAAGTCGGTCTATATAGCAATGAAATGCATGTTTTACAGTTTGGAGATTTCATTCATGTAAAGAAAATCCCCGGACATTTGAATGGTTTGGACAGCACTTTTTCAAAAAGTAAATTCAGTTTGTGTACTGAATTTTATTGCATATAGATAAATGCTTTCGTACATTGAACACCAAATGACGGCATGATTCAAACTTCGACTATTTCTAAATTGCATTGGCTTTATTCCAATTATCATTTAAAATTGGACTTGAAATTGTCTCGTAAAATTGTAGCAAAATATGTATGTGCAAAAATATGATTCCTGAATTTTTACTGCTAACATGCCAAATTTTCTTCAGTGAAATCAATCATACAGTTCTACGTCACTCGAATTTAGGCGACATGCTCTGACTCGTAAGCATTTTCTGCAATTTTCTTTTTATTTTCCTAGAAGAAACTTCAAAAATGTTGCTTTATGCACGTCAGGTTTCATAGGTTCAAAGTTTAAATCAGAAAACCCGCGCTTCCTGCCAAATGCTCAAAGAACCTTAGACTCGTTGACCCAAATGATCGTGATCAATTAATCTCGCGAAAACAAATTTCGATATTCATATAAAGTAATGTTTCATCCTTATTCCGCTGCCAAAAAAATAAAAAGGGGGAATTTGTATTACAGTATTTTAAACGGGACTCATTCTCTGTCTCTTTCTCTGTAACCTCTGTATTCATGACTTGTGACGAGGTAACGCTTGTCAAGTATTTCACAGAATAAAGGGGATAAAGCGAATGTCTCGCATGCGAATGACATCGCCGGATTTCCATTCATGAGATCGTTTTGTGAGAGGAACCCTTTTTGCTTTCATCCTGTGACGAGATGCAGTTTGTTGTAGCGAGACGACGAATCGGAGCAAGAAATGGAAGGCGACACTTGCAGCTCCGAAGATGGAGCAAGTCTTTTGCTTGACACTGATGAATCACTGGTGCATTGCAACCCAGACGCCTTCATGCGTCCCCTGGACTCGCAAAGATATATATCTTTATTTTTATTTGGCCTCTTTTATGTTTGGAACTTGATTCCCTTTAAAAAGTTGCTCATGATTTCAGTAGGAATCGCCATCCCTGACGATGGGACATTTCAACAGATAAAGATTGCGAGACAGTATCTTGTGACTTAGATTCCACAAAAGAAAAGAAATGATGAATAAAAACAGGGGCAATCACCCTTTTTCAGGATGAGAACACATATATCCAAGGTGTCACCTTGCATATGCTACAAAAATAGTTGCAATGCTTCAAGAAGCCATTGAGACTGATTTGTTTTTAATTTGCAAGTGAAAAAGTGTTCATCAGTCACACTAATTCCTGGCCCTACTTAAAGGCCTTCATTGTGCCACTTTTTCATTTGCAAATCCAAATATCATTCAGTCTCAAATGCCTCTTGAAGTATTGCAAATATTTCAGTATCAGTTCTGCCAAAACAGAAACAAAACTTGATGGCGGACCCTTGTTTTAAGAAATGTCCCACTGTGCTGTGTCACGAACTGTTCACATGTATTTGTGATGTTGTTGCTAACAGTCATCATGAGATACCTTGTCACCAACTTCAAATTTGGACATTAGGAATCATTATTATTTTTGATTGATGTTGCAGGAAGCAACTTATTATATTTAATAAAGGAATCCAGCAGATTGCTGCGCTTTCTCTCCTTTTGTTCTTCTCCCCACTTCTCTCTGATTTTTTTTTCGGAAATTTTTTTCGTCTTTCCCTGACAGCAGTACACTAAAGCATGGTTTGCTTTAAAATAGTCTGGATTGCTGTAGACTTAAGAATAATGAATCAGCTATTTCCACGCACAAAAAAAGCTGAACTCAAAATATAAATATCCAAGAAATTGCAGTAGGATATTAACTGGAACTCTGCTGAATCTTTTGATGTTGACTCGCATACACTCAAGTCGTCTGCCCACACGTGGAAATATTTCGGAGTGAAATAGTATTTCGAAATGACAGGGGAGAAAATGTTTCCAGATGAGGTATGTTCTTTACAGACGCTGGTGATGAATGTCCTGAGCATTACATACGCAGCTTGGTTCATTCCCTTTGCCCCGAGATTGGTGGCAGGTTTTCGGGGGAATATATCCTTCTTGCTGGGGGCTCAAGTGCTGTCAAGCTAAAGTTCTCTCCCCAACCACCATTATGTAGAAATTTCCATTACTCGCAAGTTTCCCATTTTTCTGCACGACTTTTCCCATAATTCTCTTGGCGGAGCGATCAACTTCGAGATGCCTCTTTGTCGTGAAATTGGATTAGCAGTATACAAATCATAAATTTTGTTTTCATTCAAGAAAAAAATGTGTCGAAAATATATTTGAAAATATTTTGAAATTTTTTTTCTGTTCGAATATATATGCATATAGTGGTTTTGCTGAGCAGGAATGCGTGTGTTTCTTTGTGCATTTTTGTGCACTTCAAGTACTTTCGGAGCTCCGTTCTCCTGACCAGTTTATTTTTTGCTTGTTAAATTATTCGAGAAATTGGATTTGTTCTAGCTAGCGAGACTTTCCGTGTGAATCCAAAAACTTTAGGGAAGGAAAATAAAAATTGCAAAAGGGAACATAGCAAAAAAATTTTTTTATTCGCTGAGCGACATACTGTAGAAGGCTCGAACAAGGGGATTAAAGTAACGCGATTTAGATGTCTCCATTATCTTGTCAATGAATTATTGCACCATTTCGCTAATGAATTCCACTAGGAATGACCGAATGCCCAATGGGCTCATCATTCGATGTTATACATTATGTGCCATGATGACGGTCATTCGTTAAATTCGTTATTTTTTCATTTTAATTCGTCAAGAATCCAAAATATGCATGTTCCAGCTCGCTCTACAAGATGATGAACGAAATTTCCAGTGCAGTGTGTTGGAAATTCTAATAATTAGATTGTTCTTCTAGCTTTAAAAAAAGCTGGGAACTTCAAAGCTACTGACGAAGGAACGGAACAGGATGAAGTTCCTTTTTACAGCTGAAGTTTTCGCTCCCTGCTTCAACAAATTTGATTCTCAGTTCGAGTCACGTGGGATGATTTTCTTCGCGATTCCTGCCCGAAGAAAAGTTGGCGAAAATCGATGAAGCATTGATTTTAAGGCATGGAAAAAATAATTTAATATAATAGCAGGCATCTGAATTCTCGAAATTTCCGAGGAAATTCCAACATTAAATAATTGCTATTTGGCAGAAAAAATTGCATGGGAAAAATCGCACTTTGCCGAAAACAGTTCGAAGCAATTTGGGTCGTCAGAAAGCCCAACTTTCGAACCACTGGTTCGGCAATAATTCATGTAAGAAAGAAAAACAGTGTCAGGCTATTGCATATGAAAGGAGCTTTGGCGTTACCATTGAAAAGGGGGCTACAGAAAGTTTTAG